ACTTGGGAGATAAAAATCGGCCGATTTTATTTTTTAGCCGGAAATCATCGGTCGTTTCTTAGGCGCAGCGCCTCTTAATTGTTAACTGACGTCATGTTTTCACCGGAAGGGTAGGTCAACATGTCCACCCGAGGCCGCCATTTTTTTTCCTACCGATGCGCACTCATGTAGACCGAAAATCAAACTAATCTATTTCACGGGAAAAGAAGCCTAAAAATAGACCAGTCTGAAAATGCCGTGACGTAGGCGAAGTATGGGAGTTGCACGCTCCTAGTGATGAGCTCCTGGAAAAACTAATTAACAGAGAGCAGTAAAATTACGTAAGCCTAATCGTTTGCGTATTTGATTTCGCAAGTTGCTGAAGCAGAAATAGGTTGGGTAAAATTTTTCCTAGGTGAGGGAACAGCTGTACACAATCTATGCCTGGAATCTATAAACTACAAAGCCACACTCGAGATTAAAAAACATTGACTGTAATTTGTTTCCACCACCATATGTCTTTCACATCAAGATATTTTCCATCCTCGGAGACCCCATTTTCTTGTTTAAAAAGCAAAATGTACATGTAGGCATATATTAATTCTTTATCATTATCAAATAAGTAAGTCGCCACCTCAAAGTTGGTAAAAATTGAAATCATCGCGTTAAAGAATCGTACAACAGCAAATGCATTCGTTAACAAAGGAATCCGAAACCATTGTCCCCTGTCTTGTGTATTGTCTCCTCCTTCGTCGAGTTTGTGAAAAGCTTCGGCGATAACTCAGAGCAAGAGAAATCTCGCTTTCGTTACATTCCTCGGCCTCGCTGTGAGTGTGATAATGTACGCCACAGTTCGTAATAGCGCGCACGCGTGATAACGAATCTGATAACGACTGCATGTCGGTGCATCCGCGGTTATCATATGGAGCCCCTGCATCACTTGGTTCATTTTGATTGGCTTTTTCTATAAAGGACACGTGACGCCCAACGATTGGCGTGACAGGCGTGACAGCCCCGTCATTCTGATTTGCCGGTTGCTCTTTGCTGAAAGACACACGAGTAGGTCGCTGTAATTTTTCCGTTGATGTTAAGCCGTTGATAATATGTAGATGGTTTTCACCATCCTCGTTTGATTTTTCCACTTGTTCTTCGTCTCTTCTATTGTCTAACTGTCTTTTTTCAGGATCAATACCAAGTAAAAATCTCTTATCCTCATTTTCGCCAGGGTGGTCTTCATAAAAGGAATCAACGCTCCGAACTTGTTCTTGTTGTTCGTCTTCGTTGATGAGTTGTGTCGAGCCAACAGCCCCATAAGTATTTCTGTCATTTTCTTCGGCCATGCTTTTCTGCAATGTAAGATGACAATAAACAGTTTGCCGAAATAAGTAAAACGAAAGATAGGACAGAAAAGCTTCGTTCGTTTGTTTCTTTTTTGTTGAAAAAGATTAGCCTAGGTGCAGGCGCCCGGCTGATTTTAGTGCGAGCTAGCCGAGTGTGGTCTAGGGCGAGCGGGGCTAGCCGAAAACGGTCTGGTGATGATGGGGAGCGTGAAGGGGAACCCGCTCCCACTCGCTTCGCTCGCCGAATTCTTTATATTGCGCTAAACTGCTCACTTCGCCCGCTGGATTTTTTCGCCCTCGTAGGCTAAACAAGATCAAATCTTAAAACAAGAAAATGGGTATGTATATACGGTGAGCGCTATCCACGCAAACAACTCTCCAAACTTCCTGCCCTTGGTTCTCTGTGTTTTTAAGGAATAGACTGCCTTCGACATCTTGATGAGTAGTTTGTTAAATCACAGATGTTTTAGCCGCCTGTACAGGTAGCACAAGAGGTACCCCATGTGCTTTATTTTCCTTTTCAGCCTGCTGAAATGGATGGCTAGCCATGAGACATGAAAGATATTTCTATCTTTCTATTTTTATTACTGATTCTATGGTTTTGAACATCGCTTTGTAAAGCGCCATGAAGGTAGCAACAACGCTATATAAATAAAGTTTTTTTTTTTCCTATCATTTAACAGTTGAATTCTGAGATGAAACAGCGAGCTGAAGAAAGAAAATTCCCTTTCCGTCCCTTTCTCTCCTACGCTTCTACTCACTTTGATTTAATCCAGAGAGAAAAATCTACAAAGGCGCGGGAAAAGGTACCGACAACTACGTTAACACATGATAGAGCGTAACTTCCGGTTCCGGTCACCGGAAGTTGTTTAGCAACGTCTGCTTGACAGTTTTGCGCTATTTCGTGACACGCTGTACAAAAAAAAGCTTTGTGTTTTTCTCCGTATGAAGAACAATTTTAATCTATAAGAGCATTACACGACTTTAAAAGTACTTCGCTGTAAAACTACGAGCACCTTGTCTTTTTCCCAATGGAATGCCGAACGAAAAGAGAAATATAGCCCTTGACAGCATGAGTCGCTGTGTTTGTACACGTCTTCACTCCTGAATCATGACTCCTTTACTATTTCTTTCCTGAACCATCAGCTGGGTATATAAGGGCGCCACAGTTCTAGATCGCCTACCACGATGAATAGGCCAGGAAAATTTTTACTCTAGATTTCCCAAATGAGCGAAGATCGGCTCGAGCGGTATGGACATATCATGCTAACGACTTGCTTGTTGATGCTTGCTCGAATGTCTTACATTTGAGAGAAGGACGTATGTTAGCAGAAGGAAAGAATGGTAAAAACTTCAAGCTACGGTTTAGAGATAAGTGTGTTACATAAGACAAGTAAAAGCTTTATTCAGCATGTTAGGCAATATTATATTTCACAGTGACCAACTGTAAGCTACATATATACAGTACGTGACACTCTTTGTTTCGAGAACATAATCACAGAGATTTTTATCAAAGAAAATTCAACATGAAAATATATACCAATCGATCAATGAAAACTATTCTATGAGTAACTCAGCGCTTAATGCTTGCACTGGAACACTTCAGACTATTGCTTAATGAATGATTTCACGGTGGGCTGAAGGCACAATAGTTTTTACAATCGATAGTGAAATGCTTGATCTTGGAACCGGATTGTTCGACCAATGGAGAATTTATGTACCACACAAAATGTAAAGTACGATACAAAACTTACTTCTGTGTTACTTGACCCACAAGGCCGCAGTTAAGTCGCCGTTTGGTTGCGCGCTGGTTGTGATTTCCTGAGCATGCTACTGTAATCGATGAACTAATATTTTTCCCGCCCGGTAAACTGATTGCGAAATATCAGCAAGTCATACATTACATGACAATAGCCAATGCTGGAGCCAACGGCTGCTCTTGTATTCGCCAAATGATAGCGCATGTCACACAACGCGCAAAAGCGTCAGAAATATTTTGAAATATGCGCCTTTAGGTGCTTTTGCAAGCCACGAATTCTGCTTACCTTGCGAAGATGCGGTAATACTAAGTTTATACGGACAGACTGATGGAGGCCATGACTTAGGTAAACAGTAAATTAATTTGAACACTTAATTTGTGACTAAATCTAACAATGTGAATGCAAAGGGCATTTCCATTATTACACTGCAGGTTGCGAGCAACCTTTGACCACGTGTAGAACCATTAATATATATGCACCTTTTTCGAATTGTAATCCCGGTGTGATCCTTACAAAGAGTACGTTTTATATGCATGACGACGAACAAATCCCCAAACCAGCAAAGATGAAAAGAATACCCTCGTGAAAACAACATTGAGAAAATTTCGCGCAACTGATGACGTAATGCTGCGTAATGATGAATAAGACCCATTCTTTATTATGCTATCGTGTCAAAATTAGGAGCATGGGGGGCAGAACCAAAAAGTGCAATGCTCGAGATGTTGATCTAGTAGCATAATGTGTCAACCACTATCCAGTACTTGCCTGACTGAGCTCAGACAGCGAAGTATCAGCCGTTCAAAGCTGGGACGAACAGAATCCCTTTGCACATAGATTGTCTTGTATGTCGGGTCGAGTAGTACCAGATCGTGTTTGTGTTACCAGCCGAACGCGGCAGTCATGCGAACACCTAATAATCACGGATTTCCGAACTAAGTTGAGTTCAATCCACTCGATTGCGTTCAACTCAGCATTCAAGTTACGTTCTTTTTTATAAGAATACAGGCTGAATATTCTTATTTTTTGTGCCGATTTTAGGCTGAAGATATTCTTGTGAATATTCTTGGATTTAATATAGGAATAAAAGAAGGACTATGCCGACAAAAAGTCAGATCATCCGTTCTATCATAATATATCATTATATATTATATCATTACATCATTATATCATTATATCTGTTATATCATTTGCTGGCGCTGAAGTAATTTTTGAGCCAGACTGCAGGCAATTAAGCCTGGTATGATACACATAACTTCTTGCAGAGATGTCACTGATTTGATCGAACATACAGTTAGTGCTCTTTTTGTTGTTTTTTAGACGGGTTTTGCCGTTTAGGGAAGGAAACATTTTTGTACAGTTTTAGTTAAAAACATATAAGTGAATTTTCAAGATTCGCACCGCTATAATTATTATTATTATTATTATTATTATTATTATTATTATTATTATTATTATTATTA